GGACCTCTGTGTTCAGGTGGGCAGCTGAGATAAAGACAGACTGTTGAAAAACATCCTGATTTTCAGGCTCCTGCCATTTATTACTCACAGTCTTTCTCCAAGGTGTTGTCTCCAAGGTCACACAAAAAATCATCCAGGTCTCCTGAACGCTCCTCTAGTGATCTACCCACTTTTGCCACAGGGGTATCTTTTCTTGCACAAGTAAAAATTAGACCCTGGTCTTGGAGGCAAAACAAACTGTTCCAGTAACCAAAAAGATGTCAACACAGATGTTAAGAAAGAAGAAGAGACAGAGGGTGTTTGTTTCTGCTTTTACATCTAACAACAGCTGCGTTTGTGGTTCAGCTGAGCAGGAAGTTCTAGGAGGAGGAGACCCAAATGGTCTCCTACCTTTTGGTAATGCTTTATACACAACAAGGCTGTCCTTAACTCTCCAGGTGAACCCTGTGAGAGGACTGCATTTCGCATAAGGCTCGGAATGAAATTTAAATACTGCCCCGTTGCCATGGAGCATTGGCCCTCATGGCATTATAGCTGGTGGGGGAAGGGGGAAGCTGTGTGTTAAGAGATGCAATCAGAGATTGGAAGGGCACTGGATGGGAAGACAAATTGTATTCAGTATACAACTCTGACTTGAAGTGATTTTGCTAGGTTGCTGCTGGAAAGATTTTAGATTAGAGGGAAGACTGATAATGTAATTTGTCTTCTACCACAGTGAGAGGAGGTGAGAGGTGCCTTGGGGAGGTAAGGGGAAAGATGCCGTGAACCTATGACAGGTTACTTTCTGAAAGGCACTGCAAACTTCTATTTACCCATAGCTTATTTCCCTATGAAGAAGCAGTGCTGGCCGGCAGGGAAGGTGGTTGCAAAGTTTCAAGACAGGTTCCCTGGGCTGTACTCAAGCAAGATGTGAAGCCACCGAGTTACTATCAGGATTACTCTATTCTTAGCATACCAGCGTGTGTTCAGCCCCCACATACCACTATCTAAATATAGTCCCTACTGAAGGACAGATGCTGCCAAGTTGGATCTGACCCCTCCTCTTGCATTCTGTTCCTGAAAGCTAGGCTGAATTCCCCAAGACACGTCCAATAGTCAGCATGTCCTTTTGTCTCCCCAGGGCTGTACAAGGAAACTTGTACTGTACTGTTAAAGCCTGATCCCAACCCTGGCCTTCCTGGCCTCTCCTAGCACTGGTCTTCCCTTTAATATCTTTTTTTATTCCTTTCCTCCTCAGTTGCCACCTTCACTCTTTTTCTTTTTTCCCCTCAATTGTTTCTGTCCTTCTCCTTCTGTCTGATTGCACATGATCAATGAGAGGAAGCAGGTAAAAAAAAAAACATGCACATGTATGTGCGTGTACCTGGGTGCTGCAGACACCCAAACCTCTCTGCCAAGAGCTCTTTTGTCACTACAGAACTCCTGCTGAGAGGGCGGGGAGACAGACAATTTTTTGAGTAAATCTGTTCCAGTTTTTCACACTGATTTGTATTTCCAGTAGCATAAATCAGTAAGACTCTGAAATTAGGATTTCCTAAATCCATCTGATATCATAACAGGACATTCCTCCAATTAGTCAAGGTATGCCATGGGAGAGTGTGTCTACTGAGGCACAGAGTGGAAAGTGTAACAGAGAGTTAGTTAACAAGAGGCTCACAGAATTTGTGGGGCTCCTCACACAAAAGGAGAGATCAGTCCTCGCCAGTATGTGCTAGAAGGTCAGACAGTGCAATCCCCCAGGGCCAGGTCTGGGGCCAGCCCTGACCTCTTGTCAGAGTCCATCAGCCTCTCATGTGCACAAGAAAGCTCTCCAGATATCTCCTACAGGAAGCAGAGAGGTTTTCTCTTTGAAATGCCACTTTTTCCAGCCTTTCCCATATCTTTAGAACAACTGTCTGGTGGCACCTTCCAACATGTCTACAACCTAAGCAGAAGCTCCCTGTTAGTGACACTTCATGTGGCTCACTGGGTGCCCAGGAGAGGGCCTCTTTTAGATATGGGGAGCAAGTGGCTCGAGCCTGAGGGCAAACTGACCTTCAGGATGGGCAGCGAGCCTGGCTTTTGGACTAGGCAGCCACCCTCTCCTGGACCCTCAAAAGCTCAGTGCTGCCCTTGCTGTAAGCAAGGTGTACAGGTTATGGGTTGTCATTACAGTCTCCACAGCACTGGGCTGGCAGGCATATGAAATCTGGCAGGCATGTCCTGGTCTCTGTCCAGAGGCTCTGCAGCCTCCGGCACACTGCACCCTGCTGTCATGGTTGTGGATTAAGTCCTGTCCTGTCCTTTCTGTTTGACGAGCTTTCTTCCTTCTCTCCCTGCACAATCCTCTCTGCCTTTAACCTCTTTGCCTTCCTCCCTAGCAAATCAGTGGGGTAGGGATTTGGCATAAAAATTAAGCTGTGGATAGTTCATTTCCCTCTGACCCTGGGAAGCAAATTCGTAAAAATTCCAGGGAGGGTTTATAAACCTATGGGAGACTGCACCAGAAGAAACATGCTATTTTCAGACTCGCTAGGTCTCTTCCTGTGCCAAAAGAGACCTGGTCCTGTTTTCCCAGAGAGGAATGGAGACAGGGAGAAGTCCTTCCTAGACTACAGAGCTAGTTTGCAGACTTTTGCAACAGCACTGAAGGACCAATAGTTGCTTTAGCACGTGGGCTATCTGTCACTCTGGTAAAATCTGAGCACAGACCAAGCCAGAGCCAGAATCCTCACCAACAACGAGAGAAAAGCTTTGTCTGCTTGTGATGCTCAGCCTGCATGGGACTGCTTGTGTCCCACCAGCCTGCTCTAATATAAAGGTACCTGAAACAGCAGCGGGCAGTGTTGGGACCACAGCCTGATCCTCCCTGCCTGGGAATACTGAACACTTGCCTGCAAAGTCTCACATACTATGGGACCAGAGGATCGCAGGAAGCTTACTATTGCTGCTCTGGTTGGTCACCAGCCTACATCCAGTTGGTTTCAGTGAGCATGGAGGAATACGATCCGATGTGAGTAATGCTCTGAGCACCTGCTGACAGCCTTTAACCCCCAGTCTCCTCACTCCATAACTGGGAGACATACTCAGCAAGTATGTTCCTATCCAGTGCTAAGCACCAAGCACTTGGCCATGGAGCAGCAGTTGGCCTTTTGGGGAATACCAGGGGACACTCCTTCTAACCTCTCTTCAACTTCCTAACTCTCTTCTTTAGCTGCCGTGTCAGTAGGCAGCACTGGAAAATGTGTCTGCTCTCTCTTCTCAGTTAACAGCTGCTCCTCGAGGGAGTATCAGGAAGCAGCATTTATATTGTAACAGCAAAAAAGTGGTTCTTCAGCAGTAGTTCATTATAGACCCACACATTCTCATTCCAGGCTTATATTAACAAGGAGGGAGATAAAGGACTAAAATGACAGAGGCTGATGGATGTGGCAGCTGGGATGAGCCAGTCCCTATTTTAAGCATGCAGGCAAAATTTGGGGTCAAGCTGGAAAGGCTACAGAGCGATAAAGTGCCAGTGAACACAAAAACAACTTGAAGGATAGCCCTCCTCTTTCCATCTTTTTCCCGAACACCTCTCGGTCCTGCTGACAGGCTGACCTGGGAGGAGTGCTGCTCTTGCCTGAACATGGGCCAGCAGGGTCGAGTTCTGGTTGCAAGCACACCCCATGGGTGCAGAGGGCATAGGCCCTGAGCCCAGCCAACCATGACATGGGACCTCCTTAGGGCTCCAGCCCTCTCCTTCCCTGCTCCCCTACTGCCCCTGCAAGAACAGTGACAGGGCAGCAATCCTCCCACATCCACTTCTCTTTCATAAGGCTGCCATAGAAGTGCAGGCAACGTAACTGAGACTGGTTGCTCCAGCACAAGGCTGTAAGATATGGGAGAAGGTGCCCTGCTGTGTTACCTCTCTGCAGGATCTGCCACAGTTCGTTCACTGCGCTCTCTCTTAAACAGCTCTGCACTGATGTGTCTCTCACTTAACTTCAAGGTTCAAAGAAATCTTCTAGAAGCATCTACAAATCCAGTGTATTACTACCTTGGCCCTGACTTCCTCTGATCCATTTTTTCCTGAATATTCTTTTATGTGCAAAATCAGTCTATTATGGGTATTAAGCTGTCCTACAAGACTATCTCCATTGCTTGCCTATACGGGAGAGGTCTGTGGTTTTTGGCTGAATGGGCATTTGGTTTCCTTGCTTGCTTGACTTAACAGAAAGGCTAGGCTGTGTTGGTAAGAAGTTTAACTGATAGATGATAGAAAAAAAGGGAGAGGAAACACTTGGTGTAAGATGGCCATGAGAGGCCAGATCTAGGAACTAGCCTGGAACTAGAGACTCCAACTCCATTCTCAGATATAGCAATGCATATCCTGCACAACTCCTGTTAAGGCTACAGATTTATTCCAAGTTTACACTTGTGTAACAGGACACCATATGGTCTGATGCAGATGTCCAGAAATACACTGGCCAAAGCCATTGGAACAGGAATGCTTAACAGCAGAAAGTGCCTCTTTCACGACAGAGCCACCATCTCTCCCCAGTGTCAGCTTCCATGAGGATGGTACCTGCAGGGGCTCTGCATGAGAGCCAGGGATCATACCGAGGAATCACAGTAGGGTTGTGCAGAAGGACACACAGTCATGTACAGGCATAGTCTGGAAAGAGTTTCTGTTCCCTCTCTGAAATACAGACTCTCTAAGCAACTTAGGAGATAGGGAGCAAGAGGAGAAAAGCATGTAGATGTTCTTGAGTCTTTCATCTGCCCTGAAGAAGTTGAACTGGGTTGGTGATCAGGTCAGGCCTATGCTCAGCAGAGATGTTCTTGGAATTAACAGGAATGCAGAGACCACAGCCAGGGCTCTGCAACAGGACTAGTTCTCCACCCTGGCATGAAGCAGTCTTAGGCCTTATTTTATCCTATCAGGGACAGAGCAATAGAAGGGACAGCAGGAGACAAATGACTGAACTAAATAGCTGCTGTTCTTTCCTTCATCTCTATCCTCTCTCCTGCTTTTCCAGATCCGAAAGAGAAGCAAAGCATGCCGTGGAGGCCTGTGGGAAAATGATGTGATAGTATCTATCAATGGGAAGTCATGTGCTGGCCTTTCCCATGCTAATGCCATGCAGATCATCGATTCTTCCAACGGCATGCTCAACATCCGTGTGAAAAGGTAACCTGCACCCAAGCACCAGTGCTGTGACAGTGCAGACAGCAGGGCAGCTTCATCCAGCACAGAAGCTCTCCATACCTAGCAGAAAGAAGGCAGGCAGGAAGCCTTTGGTTTTGCCATACTGCAAAGTGGGAGGACTAGGAGGACTTCTCCATGGCTAACGTGCAGCCATCTCAATGTTTTGCCCTGTCTCTGTGCTGCTCTCCAGAGTGACTGGCTCTGGGGCTGAACTGACCCCAGGCATCCCCACCCCTCAGGCTGAAGGGAAATGTTTGCAGTGTGAGGGCTGTGCTGGAAATAATGAGCTATTTAGGCTCCTATGCCCAAGATGGCATAGGGCAGTTCATCTCAGCAAGTAACAGACTCTGGTTCATTCTGGGTAAATAACTGTTCTGTAGAAATGGATTTGACTATACAATGAATAATTAAGCCAGGACAAGATTACCCAAGTATTTACTACATCAGGCCAGTTGTCCAACAGTCTGTGAACTGACTTCCACAAAGATTAGAGGTGTGTGGCTGAGTCCCCCCTTTTATGGGAAGAAATATCTCTGCCAGTCTCTAGTTCAGCAGAATAGTGGAGATCAGCTCAAATGTAAGCATAAAAATGGTCCCAGTAACGTTCCTCATTCTTCCTGTGCTAAGTTAACCTAGTGCCTCAGTGCATGCTGGATGTGGCCCAAGCTGTAAATGAATAATCATATAAAGATGAAGGCAGAAAAGCTGTGTGAAGTCCCAGTCCCAAAACTACTGCCAAAACAGAAGTCACCCTCAGAAAAACAGGCCCTGGTGAAGGGGGCTGGGAGATGGGATTTTCTACAGTCCTGAACAGGCAGAGCACTGTGAGCAGTGAGGAGGGACAGCCACGCTGGTTGCTGACATCTGTAAAGCAGGGGCAGAGGTGGGCAGTGCTCAGAGAAGGAAAGCCTGAGCATGTAGGATGTTTCCCTTGGCTTTAGGTAACGCGCTGGTGCCTTCTGATGTGCTCACTCTATACCCTAGCTGTGATTAAGTGGGATGAATAAATTCTATACAAGGTGTCCAGAATAGCTCCTGGTCCCTTGCCAAGGCCTTATCTCACCCCATCGGAGCCTATCTGCAGCCAACAGTTGCCTGGGCAAATTCCAGTGGGGCAAAATCAGCACACTTTGAATTAACAAAGTGACAAAGGCAGGCTTCTCATAGCCCTCTGGGAGCCAGCATTGGATGGTTTGGAAATAACATAACCAGTTGGCTGCAACCTGGAGTAGCGGAGAAATCATCACATATCGCTTTCTTGACCACATCTCTGTTCCCACTTCATATTTATGTTCCCAGAAAAAACACCAATCAATCCTGTTCAGAAAGGAGAGGTAGCTGGATGACTCTGGAGTATGTGTATTTCAGAAAAAGAGGGAGGGAGAGAAACTGTGATCTGACAATGCAGAACAAGAGAAACTGGCTTACAAGCAGTAATGCTTTTCAGTTATTTGGTTGAGTATTTAAAGAAGAGGAAGGACTGTTCTGTATTGCTTGTGGAACTTTGAGTTTGCTCCTCACTGAGAGTTCATAATGGCAAATAGTATTAAAAAAAATAAACTGCCAGAGAAATTGTCCCACCCTTAGCTTCGACAAAGGTTTGCATTTGACATGAATATAAATTTTTCACAGTTTTGAACTGGGATCCAAGTCGTGAATTCCACAGCTTCAGAGAGGCAATGCTGTCTGCCTGGCTTCCTGGTATGCATGTTCAGAAGGCAAATACTTAGGACTCCTTCATAGCTCTAATAAGCCCTGGCAACTCTGACAAGGGAAGGAAGAAGTTCTCAGCTCCATCTTTATGGTCCAGAGTCAAACTGCCACTGAAATCAAGACTCACTCTTGAGGAGAGGGAAGACAGAGCGGGCTATTTCCCTGTCAGCACAGCCAGTTCTCCTTCCCTCTGGCAGTCAGCAATAGGACTGATTGCCCCAGTCTGCCCTGCACCTACTCCAGACATCCTTCCAGATAACTTACAGACTTGAAGTCGCTATACAAATGCCACTATGGATTGGACTGGCTGGCATGATTGCATGTGGTCATCAGAATCCTGGTAGCTAACTTGTGAAGCAGTCCCACAGTGAGCAGGCCAAACATCATGGCGGTCTGCTATCACAGGATACTAGAGCCCTACCCCCAAAAAACACTCGGGCCTTTTAATCTGAAGTATTGCCTATTTACTCCCATGTAGAGGTCAGGGCAAACAAACAGCACTGACTTCTTTGTTTGGAGCCCACTCTGATCTAAAGTAGTTTGGGGGTGCCAGGATCTGCAGAGCTGACACAGCTCCATGGTGCAGTCCCAGCTGCAGGAGCAGCTGGAGTGCAGTGTGGTAGCTGAGGCACCTGTGGTAGCTTGCTGATAAGTGGCAGACTGAGAGGCACGTCCCACTGTCCTGGGGAATGCTTGCTACACAGGTATTTGTATCCCCAGGAGAAATGCCTGGGGAGCTGATTAAGCTGACTGGTAGAATTTTATGCTCTTAGGGCATTCTGATATCCAAGTGTTTAACACCTGATTTCCACAGAGTTGTGAAGCAGAAAATCAGGATGAGAGCACGTAGCTGATGTCAGAGATGAGTCTGCCCTTGGAGTCTACACTTCAAGTGGCTGTACCACCTGAAAGACACTTGAAATACCATTTTGATCCATAGCTCTCTCTCACATGTCAGGGTTTCCTTCTCGCTTAGCCCCACAAACCAGACCTCTCTCACCACTTTTCCTTCTCCCTACAGGATGGTTGGTGGGGACCAGACCGGCCCACGGTCCCAGCATTCCCCTTCTCCAGGGCAGCGAGTGCTCTCCTCCCCATCCCTGCTCAGCCCCCCAGCACAGTCACTCAGCTCTGAACCAGCAGGAGCCCCGGCCACCACACAGCCCTCTCAGCCACGGAGGTCACAGAGGCACCTGGAGAGCCTCACCTCCCCCCCGGACAGTGAGGCCTACTATGGGGAGACGGACAGCGATGCCGACAACGTGGCCCAGGAGAAGCACCGCCGGGCTCGCAAGAAGAGCCCGCGCTCCCCACCTGACAGCACCGCCAGCAAGGCGGATGAACCTCCGGATGAGGTGTCCCTGTCTGAACAGAGCGGCTACGAGAGCATGCCAGAGGCTGTGGTGCAGGGGGGAGCAGAGGTGCCCAGCTCCAGTGGGGTGGCCAAGAGGGAGATTGTCTGCCTGCCTGGCAGCCGCACAGACACTCCATTCTCAGACAGCGAGGGACAGCTGCGGCCACCATCAACAGAGGGACGGGAGCCTTCTCCAGAGGCAATGCTCCTGCCCCATGCCACCAAGGCTATCCGAGCGGAACGCCATCTCATCCCTATGGTGGGGCCAGTGGAACATCCGATTGATGAAGACCTAACCACCACATATACAGAGAAAGCCAAGCAGGCCAGTAAGTCCTCTGTACCCTGCCACTCACTCATGCCCTTTTCTTATGCTGGATCTCCTTCCAAAAGCCTCATTCCTGCAAATATCAAGTGGGTTAGCTCCTCTAGCTTGCAAAGAAGCAGAGTCAAATCAGACCTGCAGAGACTGGGGCTTCCTATTGCAGTTGGGTCTACCTCACCCAAGAGGTCCCAATGAACAGATAAGAGAAAGAGTCTGGGTCTGGGATCTGGGAGTCACTCATAGAAGCTGCAGCCATGCAACCAGCTGTGGCTCTAGCACCCTGTTCAGCTCAGTTCTACATGGGTACAGAGCCATGGAGTATTACACATGACTAAGGACTGATGAGATAATTTTCAGTCAGCATAGCCCTAAAAGAGTCTTGTCAGTAAGTCATTCACTTCTCTCACCCTGTCAGGGAGCTCAGGGAGGGACTTGTCTCCGTCGACTTTTGGAGGATGTTTTCTCTGCAGGCACTCACTCCAGCAAGGGTATCCATGTCTGGCAGCAGCTGGTGAACTCTGCTAGAACTGGGTATTGGCAGAGAAGGGTTGCCAGCAAGGATAGGCAGGAGCTGCTAAATCAGCTCTTGAGACAGTTCCTTGTAGTGCAATCCCTGATAGTCAAGACCTTTCCATGCGGAATAAAGTACTGAAAAATGTAGTGTAGTATATGGGTGACAAACCTGAAGTGACCTTAATTGTGAATATCTTTCCTGGTTTCTGCTACACATGGAGTATTTCAATGCCAAACATGAAGGTAGAACAAGACATTACCAGATTTCAGTTGTGATCTATCCAATATTAAAAACAAGGTGATCAAAAACTTATTTTCATATGAGTACCTCAGTGTGTAGTATGATTGACTAATTTACACTTCTCTGAGCCTAGAAAAAAAAGCAAGTTTTAAAAAAGTGGTTCAGCTGGGGGACAGAATAGAAAACAGAGACACAAAAATTGCTAGACTCAATCAGAAATAAAGCACATGGATTCTAACTTCTGATTCTCTGCTTCAAATGCTAGACATTTTTACCCAGACCCAAGCAATTATAAAGCCTCTATTTTATCTTTTCCTTGGGCTAAACATTCCTTTATCTGTTCTGCCTAAGGGATCCTATAGGGGTAACTTTCAAACCTAGGTGCTTCCATCAGGCAGGGCGCTGTCTTCCTGCTCTTCCCAGCACTGAGAGGACAGACTCAGTTGGGTCCCTTATGTCTGGCCCTGCTAGGCAGTGTAATCGACCTGGTGCCTTGTAGTATTTCTTCCTAGTCTCTATCACTCATTTTCCTTAGGACAAGAAAGAAAGTAGCAATTTCAGCCTCCCTGAAGATGAAGTTATTTTTTCCCTCTTTGAATAATGTACAGGCATGAGGTGAATGTTGAGAAAGGCATGTTCAGCTGCTCCCTGCCACCTGATAGTCCTAACAGTGGATGAGCAACTGCTTTACATCAAGACTTATTTTCACAGACTACATGAGTACAGAAGGATCTCAGGAAAGCCATGTATTTAATTCAGAGCATTTCTGATGGCAGAATAATATCCCATGGCAGGAGGTGATGCAATAATATTTCCAGCTAGAGCTAGGGTTCCCAGAAGCACTGCAGACTGAGATAATATTTTATTCTCCTATTACTCCCCCACTGCTCACCCCCTTTCTGGTTTATGTTTGGCCATGGGTGTCCTTATGTAAGAGTTACTCTGCCATGGATGGCAATTGACACAGCCAACTTGGTCTTTTCCTGGGTTAGGGATCTTGGCAGTATATGAGAAGGCACAGCTCTACATCCTGATCATGGTGGAGCACAGCAGCCATTAAAACAAAAGTCAGGTTCAGGAGCCAGTAACTCTGTGAAGGAAGGAAGCAAGGAAGAAATATCGAAGGTGTTCATTAGATGGTGAACAGAGCTAAGGAACACCTGTACCTGGAATAAACCCAGGCATAAACACAAGAGGTTGTGGGACTGCTGACCTGCACTGGCTCCATGGGGAGCCTGCTTGCAGAGAAGCTACTCATTGGCATGGGAGGCACATGATAGAGCTCACTTATTTATACTAGGCAAGGAATTGATTCCATGAGCAGAACACAGTGTGGTGGCAAGTACCAACAGCCCAAAATCAGGATTTGGCGGTGGGTGGGGTGGAGCAAAATCAGCACAGGAAAGAGGGGGCAGCAGCTCCTGGTGCCACTGTATAATGCCCTGCATGTCATCAACTGCTGAACTGTGCTTTTTCATCCCCAGCAAAGACACAGTGTCTTGGAGGTCCTTAGAGAGCCAACACCCTTGCAGTGAAGTTTGGGCCTCTCTCTTTCCAAAGTTCATGCTGTATTTGCACATTGGTACTGGTTCATTTTTTCCAACCTGTGGGATAAGCGTGTAAGTCACCCGAGCCCTCCACAGGACACATGACTTAGATATGCCTGCTCAAAAACCACTCAGAGCATTGCTGGTGCAAACCACTGGGGCACTGTGGGAAGCCACACACCACCCAAATGTGGGGGAACTTGTTGTACAAGTAAAAGGACTTCAGTCTTCATCACTACCCAGTGTCTACCATGCACTCTGGTGTTCTGCTCAGTGGGGTAAGAGAATGGCCAGCAAACAGGGACTCTTTGCTTTATTTTAAATGAACTACAGAACAGTCATATTTGTGAATAGCCAATATTTTGCCTAATCTGTAGAAACAAAAGTACAAATTTGTTTACTTCCCACTAAAACTGTAACTTTCTCTCTTTAAAGAGGTGATTAATCCCTGGGGAAACTGGGGATCTTTAGGGCTCAGTTTGTCATCACTGTACAAACTACGTCCCTTCCTGAAATTATTTATGTGCCACTTGGACAGTGCAGAAGAAAAGGAAGAGATAACAAGATAGAAAATACTAATTAAAAATCTGAATCAGTTTCAAAAGGTTAGCAGAAAGTGGGAGCTCATGGCAGGGAGAATCAGACTACAATTGTCACAAGTAGTTGCTAGTGAGGTTCTTTGTTTCCCCATAGCTCCTGCAGTGCCCTTCTCTTCTCACCCCACCCTCAGAGGCTCAGGATCCATCTGTAGCCAGGGTTGCTTCTTCTCAGCCACCTGTGCTCTCTAAGGTGCACTGTATTTTCACCCCCATCCTAAATCATCTCACAGGACAAAGGGCTCAGCCTTTCTCACCACTGAAAATACCAATTGCTAGTAGAAGACAGGCATACCAAGACAGCAGTGTATTCCTAACTTGCTATCACACTGTGTCAGTGCAAGAAGTGCTTCAAAATATCTCAATTTAAACTTATCCTCTGGACTATTTTTAGTTCCTAGGACTCAAGAGCCTCTCCATGTATGGTAGGGGAAGGGAGGGAAAAATGGGTGGGGAAATTTCCTCCTCTGCTTTATATGGGCCTGGTTGCCTGTGCAGAGTCATCAAAGATACTACATTCCATATCAGAAAAGGAAATCCTTCTTGTTTAAAGCGGATGTACAGCAGCATCACTTGAAAAGATAGGGTGCTTATAAATAAGTGGCCTATTCATCAGAGGGTCATATAGATTACCTCTTCTAAGAGTGACTGCAGTCACATTTCTCTGCAGAGAGGGTGAGTGCAGCAAGCCATCTCTCCACCTATTACAATCCGTATAGGCCACAGGAGACATGAACAAGATGAAGTACCTGAATGGCAGTTTGAACTTACTGTACCACATTTTCTACTTGGCTTTCAGCTTTGACAGTTGTGACTCTAATGATCACATTTATGTGGTTGTTAGACTAACTTCCTGGTTTTGTCATTCACTGCAGCCTAGGAGACCAAAAGATTCAGGATAGTAGTCAACTGACCTGATCCTACCTGCTTTAAAGCAAAATAGAAAAGCATTCTGCTCAGACCAGGAGATTAAAATTAATTGCCTGAACTATTGATCTTACAGGAAGTCTGTTCCTAGCAGTATGAAGCAATGCTGAATCACCCTTGGCCCTTGCTACTCAGTGAGCAGCCAGCCACTAGGGAAACAAGGACAACAGCTTCCATGGTTGAACAACAGATGGAGAGTCTGATCTCACTTCAGCACACATTAAACTGGGAATTGCATCTACTTGGGAAATCAGTTTACATACAGTGCTGCAGCCTAGTTGTAGGTGTTTGCTTAAGAATACCCCACTTAATAAATAACATTCAACTTTGAATTCTCTGCCACTTGGAAGGCATTTATTAAAGAAGACCACAGTGAGATAAACTCTGGGCATCTAGAGCCCTCTTTCTCTGCTTTTAGGCTTGAGTATGACATTTGAGCTTATGCCTTCAGTTTATGTTCCTCTATCAAAAGCACAGAGGTGATATTGTCAGGCTGATGTATCAATGGTTTGGGCAGAAGACAGAGACTATAAACTAGTGTTGCACGTCTTGGCTAGTCTAGTTGAACTTTTCCTTCTTTCTTGAACCATCTCAAAATTTGTCACAAGTAACTGGCCCTCTTCCTTGGGTGTTCTTACTGGAGACCTCCAGCATCGTTCCATCGGGCATCACTCTTGTCCAGTGAGGATGGTGTGGGTTGTAGCACTGGAAGTGAGGCAGATAGAGCTCTGCTCTGCTCCACCTTTGTACCTCACTGCTATCCTGCTGCCCCAGAGCCGTACAGAGACATGGATTTAGCTGAAAATATATTAACTCAAAATAAATTTAGCTGTATATAATATTCTCTGGGAGGTGAAAGATCTTTAGTATTTGAAGATGTATAGAGGAAAATTATATGATCCCCAAGATGAAAAGGTATATAGTCTCTTTTGTCCTAGTATTTCCACCTTATGTCATTTGGGGCATCTTTTTAAAACTATCAGTTACTCAGACATTATTATTGTCAGCACAGGGACTCTGCCTCTGGGTCACAGTTCCTCAGACATGATAGGGGATCATTCATCCTCCTGCTGCTGGTGAAAAGTGTCAGCAGTTCTCTTCCAAGCTCACACTTCCATGGCCCTTGCAGAGCCCCAGCTAGTGATTTTTCACACTGTGCTGCCACATACATTCAGTTAAC